GTTCTTTAGGCTGCACGGGAAACATGGTTTTGATGTCTGCCCAGCTAAATGGGAGGCCGTGGGGATCAGGGTCCTCAGGGAGTTTTTACTCATGGTGGGAAGGCAAAGCATAACCCAGCATGACACATAGCAAGTATGGGGAGAGATGCCACACACTTTTTTTTTTTTTTTTTTTTTTTTGTCAGATGGAGTCTCGCTCTGTCGCCCAGGCTGGAGTGCAGTGGTGCAATCCTGGCTCACTGCAACCTCCTGAGTTCAAGTGATTCTCCTGCCTCTGCCTCCCGAGTAGCTGGGACTGCAGACCCGGCCACCATGCCCAGCTAATTTTTGTATTTTAAGTAGAGATGGGGTTTCACCATGTTGGTCAGGACGGTCTAGATCTCTAGACCTCGTGATCCGCCCGCCTCAGCCTTCCAAAATGCTGGGATTACAGGCGTGAGCCACCGCACCCTGCCGGTGCCACACACTTTTAAACAGCTAGATCTTGTGAGAAGTCACTCACTATTGCGAGGACAACACCAAGACATGAGGGGTGCACTACCATGATCCAATCACCTTCCCCCGGGCCCCACCTTTAACACTGGGGATTAAAATTCAACATAAGATTTGGCAGAAACCTCTATTCAAACTATATCACCAGCTGATTCTCAGCTAATCTGAGAGTTGTCCACAGAGACATGAGTGGGGCCAGTTGAAAACCTCCAACATAGGCCCACAGTTTTGAGCTAAAAAATTGGTATTGTTTATTTATGAGCTAAATAAATTGGTATTGTTTATAGTTCATTGGAACTAAATTTGGGGTAAGATAAAAGCAAATGTATACAGTGAAATTAAATAATGGTTGTAATGAGAACACCTAATGAAGTGCTGTAGAAGACTGGTTCATTACATTAAGGCATTGAATTAATGATTTTCAAAGCAGCATATTTTATTGTGATTAGATATTCCAGGTATAAATATACAATCTTGTGAGCAAGGTGAAGTGTAGAGAATTTTAAATACAGATCAATAGGTTAAGTAAATGAGAGGATTTGGTGGTGTTTCAGACATCTGCATCTGCATGGGAGGAATTTAAAAGTATCTAGGAATGCTTTTAACACACAGGTTGGAAAGAAAACTGAGGTCTTGGTGCTAATATTTTAGAAAAATGAGGCCAGGTCGAAAGGCCAGGATGTGGTTAGACGATTGCAATCAGGATGGTGAGAAGGACTCAGTACAGTGGAATGAACTTAAGAGGAGTAGGGTTTGTCTGACCACAAAGGAGGTGATTATCTAGGAGCCTAAGGAAGCTTGGAGTTAATGGTGAAAGCCAGCAACCCTTTTCTCTACCCTCCATTATCCTCACTCAGAGAGGAATAAAAATAAAGTAAGGAAGTTCTTGAGAATAAAGTTGTTTAGAATGCTTACCTTTAATAATGTCCAACTCTTTGAGAATCACACAGTTGATTTTGGAATCTGTACTTACACACATTTTAGCCATTAAATGACTGTTGGTATATACCTTTTATGTTTTGGGTACCACATATTTATATTTTCCTCTATGCACACCTGTGTCTCCAAACATGGGTACAGGGGAAAGTCAACCAAAGTCACACTATCTCTCAGCCCTAGAGGTGGATAAGCAGCCCAATTTGGGACATGTGCCTGAATAAATGCCCCAGATGATGGTAACTACCAAAGCCTGACCAGTGAAAATCTTTCTCTAGAATGCTCCTTCATTAGAATAAGTATGTTTTCATTAACTAATTTAGAGAAAGGCATTCTTGAGTAGTACAAAATAAGAAAAATATACTAAGAGAAGCAACCCTAATAGAAAGGCAGTGTATTTGAGAAAGAGTATTCTCTTGTTTTCTTGCCACTGTTCGAATCTTTGGGAAGTGCTTTCCCCTGACTTCTGTTACATGAGCTGATCCCTGTTTTCTTTCATTCCTTCTTTAGAAAGGCAGAATAATATGATGATGTGGATCTAGACTCCATGGGTTCTAATTCAGGCATCAGCTTTTACACTCTGTGTCATTTTGGACAATTTTTTTTTAATTTTTATACAAATATCCTCATGAATTAAATGAAGATGCAAATAGCTCTCAACTCATAGATATCTGGTAAACAGTATGTAATTTAAATTGTGTAACAGGTGTACAGCAATGCCTGTCCTTGTAATGTGTAAATAAAAGCATCACATGTATTGGTTATTACTGTTACCACATTTAAATAGAAGTGTCCAGTAAGATGTTACAGATCCAAGCAAAATTATATCTCTGATGCTATAAATTATCTCTGATGATATAAATAATCCATTCCATTTGTCTTAAATTTCCTCAAAAACCTAGAGAGTAACACTGCACAAGCCAAAGTTTTTTTTTTTTGTTTTTTTTGAGACGGAGTCTCGCTCTGTCGCCCAGGCTGGAGTGCAGTGGCCGGATCTCAGCTCACTGCAAGCTCCGCCTCCCAGGTTCACGCCATTCTCCTGCCTCAGCCTCCTGAGTAGCTGGGACTACAGGCGCCCGCCACCTCACCTGGCTAGTTTTTTTTTTTTTTTTTTTTGTATTTTTTTAGTAGAGACGGGGTTTCACCGTGTTAGCCAGGATGGTCTCGATATCCTGACCTCATGATCCACCCGTCTCGGCCTCCCAAAGTGCTGGGATTACAGGCTTGAGCCACCGCGCCCGGCCAAGCCAAAGATTTTTTTAAACTCTTTTTAAAAATTTTAAAATCCAATCTTTCTCAAAGGTAAGAATATTTTCTCAATGAATACACCTGAATACTACTTCAGTTACAATTAAATGCATACATGGGCGCACACAAACACACAGGTGTTAAAAAAATTAGTAATATCAAAACTAGGTAACAAAATTTCCATCAGGTCACTGTAGAAGAGTGTATTCAATAAAAATTACCCTGAATAAAAGGTTCAGATAATGATCTATATAACAGGATTTCATAAAGAACAATATGCATTCATTCAAAACCCAATTTACTCAGCAAAATTAATATGCAAGAAAAATTAATGTTCTGTGTAAGATAGTTCATTTCCTATTCCTTGCCTTTTTTATTTATATCATGAAGATGGCTGGATGATGTAAAATTCCCAAATAATATGCTGCTGCATTAAAATTGTTTAAAGAAAGAAAAATAAATAAACAAGGACAGGCTTCATATGAAGCTAAAATAGGATAGTTACAAGCAGAGTAAATGAATGATTAAAACCACACATAAATGAGCATCACACAATAATTGGGAAACCCCAGTGGCAGATATGCTGGTGGAAGCATGTTCTTAAATAGTGTGTTAGTCTTCTTCAGTAGTCCATATAAGAAAGAGTGAAGTTTAAAGTTAGGAAGCAGGCCTGGAGTGATGGTTCATGCCTGTAATTCCAGCACTGTTGGAGGCCAAGGCAGGTAGATCGCTTGAGGCCAGTAGTTCGAGACCAGCCTGGGCAATATGGCAAAAACCAATCTCTACTAAAAATACAAAAAATTATGTGGTCATGGGGATCCATACCTGTAGCCCCAGCTACTCTGGAGGCTGAGGTGGGAGGATTGCTTGAGTCTGGGATGTGGAGGTTGTAGTGAGCTGAGATTGTGCCACTGCACTTCAACATGGGCAACAGAGTGAGACCCTGCCTGAAATTAATGAATTAATTAATTAAAGTTAGGAAGCAACCAATAGAAAAGAGACAAAACTATATTAACGGTGAATTCGACAACATTGGCAATGTATCAGGAAGTCTAGGGCTGGAAAATATAACTATTGGTTGGATTCTTAGAAATTATACTCTCTCTCTTTTTGTATTTTGTTTATTTAATTTTCTACATAAGCATATTAATATTCTATTATCCATCCCTTCTTTAACAAATGAAAAGAACACTCAAGTCTAGTTTCTACATTTAGTTGCCAATCCTTTTTTCTACTCTTCTTTATCAGTATTTGTCTGTAATACTATACCCAATTTTCCATATCTTGTTTACTCACAATCTCTATCCAATTAAACTTCACCCCCACCGTATCATCAAAACTACTCCTATTTAGGCCACTAATGACTTGTGTGTTGAAAATCCAACGTTTAATTATCAACATTTTCGAGGTTTACTCCAACAACAGAATATTGTAGACATTGATAACGACCTACAAACACCTTTCTTACTTTATAGACATTCCTCTTTAGCTTATTTTATTGGCAATTTCTCTTCTTTATGGCCATGAAATTCACAGGGTCCAAGTTTCATTTTTAGATAGTTGATTTTTTATTATCTCATGCACTTTCTTGATGATCTCTCATTTCGTACTAAGGCTTTAATTATCACTATGCATTGACAGCTTCCAAATTTATATTGCCAAGCTGGACTTTTCTTCTGAATTCTAGGCAAGTATATCCACCTAGTTACTTGACTTCTCCACTAGAGACCTAAAAAAAAATCACACTTAATATGTTAAATACTAGAATTTTAATCTACCATGCCGCTCTTTGCGTGTGCTCTCTTTATGATTCCTCCATCTCTGCCAATAACAACTCTCATCTTTCTACTTACCTATGCTCTAAAAATTGGATTCCTCACTTTCTCACATACATATAATTTAATATATTCCTAAATACCATCAGCTCCTCCTTCAAATCCATGTGGAATTTAGCCATTTTTAGACACTTGTACTGCTCTTCTATGAATTATTGTAAACCACTTTCAAATTCTTGCATCAGAGCTCCAACTGATCTCCTGTCTTCCACATAGAGCTTATAGTGCAAAATGCAACCAGAGTGATTAATTCACTATGTAATTAAAACCCAGATGACTCTCTGCTAAAATCCTGTAATACTTCTCTATTAGTTATACATTGTTGTATAACAAATACCTACAAAGATAGTGACTGTAAGCAACACACCCTTATTATGTCACATTCATTGTTTTTGTGAGTCAGGAGTTTGGGCACTGCCTAGCTAGGTCCTCCGCTGAAAGTGCAGTCCTTGAGGTCAAACTGCAGAAACTGGATCCTTGAGATTAAACTGAACCATGAGCCGACTCCTTTATTACAGCATCATGAGACTAAGAGTGCAATTCCAATTCAAGACCAGATAAGGGAAGGATCGCCTTGCAAGTTCATGTGGTGGTTGGTGGCATTAAGTTCTTTGAGAGCTGCATAAATAAGAACCACAGTCTCTGCATGAATTTCAGCCTTATGCCTCTTTTAGTTGTTGGATGTCTGTTGGCTGGAAATCACCCCTCTTTCCTGTCAAGGGGGCCTCTCCTCCATAATCAGTTGCTTCATCACCCTTCGACGAGAGAAAGGCTATTAGCAGGACACATTACAATTACATGTAAAATTCATAATAACAGCCAACAATTTTGTGTTTTCTGTTGTTTAGAGGAAAAATCATGGAACGAATAATCTCCACACACATTCAAGGACACCAGGAGTCAGAAATAATTGGACTGTCTTTAAGTCTGACCACTATGATTCCTCATTACAATAAAAGTAAAAGCCAAATTCTTCACTATGTCCTGCAAGGCTTTATGTAATCTTCCTTTAATTACGTTTTTTACTACTCAAAAACACTTCAAAATTTTGATGTTAAGGTTAAATTATTTCATGACTTTCACTTGTCTGTTTCATAATAAAATATATACTCACAAAGTTTTAAAAATTAATGGAAATCTACTTTCTATTGTATATATAATTTGTTTCTATGAAAGACAGAGTTTGAAGAAAGGTGTTATTGCTTAAGAAAAGTAAATGTTCATGGGCTAGAAGATTTTTGAGATTCCTTTCATTTCTGACATTTTGGGGATAGTTAAAGGAAAACAAATACAGCACAAATAGGGCTTAAGTGCCTTCTTCAATGCCCAATTCAGATACTAAAGGACAAAATATATTAAACAATTTATTTAACCTAAGAATGTCAAGTTATATCTCATTCTATATGGCATCAAAAAGTCTAATGCTAACAATTTTCAGTGTTGCAAATAAGACATAATTTTAATTGTTTTTACTTTTGCAAGTTAAATGTATAAACTTGAGTACATTAATTTGAAATTATGTTATGATCTTTAATTGTAAAGACAGAATTAGAATAAGACAAATAGAAGTAGTGGATTGAACTCCTTTTATCAAGCATCTGTGTGATTTAGCCACGTCATTCCATAAAAAGCAACAGTATGGCAGTATGGTGTAAGTGTCAATGTGCCTTATGGAGAAAGGGAAATATGGGTTAACTACATTTCACAAAAGGAGAACTGCATTTTAAAAAGTTGAAATTCCCTTTAAAAATTTTTACCTGTCAAATCAGTGACATTTTCTAGGAGTTAATGGCTAGCAGAAGAGTGGTGATGATATTTAACACATTCCAAATAATATTGACTTTGAATTAAAATCTATATATGCTTTATAAACATTTTAAGTATTTTTTTCTAATTGCAGTCGCATTATAAAGGACATAGTTTTTTTTTTGTTTTTTTTGAGATGGAGTCTCGCTCTGTCAGAAGGCCAGAGTGCAGTGGTGCGATCTCATCTCACTGCAAGCTCCGCCTCCTGGGTTCATGCTATTCTCCTGCCTCAGCCTCCTGAGTAGCTGAGGTGCCCGCCACCACTCCTGGCTAAGTTTTTTGTAGTTTTAGTAAAGACGAGGTTTCACCATGTTAGCCATGATTGTCTCGATCTCCTGACCTCATAATCTGCCTGCCTCGGCCTCCCAAAGTGCTGGGATTACAGGTGTGAGCCACCACGCCCGGCCAAAGGACATAGTTTTAAAAAAAAGAATGCAGATGTAACAGATGGATATTCTGCATTCCTTTTCTGCATTCCTCAATTATTTGTGGTTTCATATTATATTATTATAAAATAAGTGTTTTACCTTCTGTTTAATTAAACCTATCATTGCTATGTAGACTATGACATAGAGCATTGCAGTAATCACACAACTAAACACTAATGCATAACTCATTAATTGTACTTTTTACTTAAGAAAATATTCTAAGATAAACACCACAATCTTAAATTTTAAATATCATTACAGGTAATATCTATACCATCGTCCCTACTAGAGGTTCCTGATGGTACAAAGCTAGTTTCTCATGTAGTTAAGATATATTTAAAAATTAAACTAAATTTTTAGTTATATAAATATCTACAGTCTGTGAAAAGTGCTATGGAAAGAAACTATCATACCTAGTGCTCAGGTCTTTTTTTTTTTTTTTAATAACCTTTTCCAATAAAAGAAAAAAGGGCTCCTCAGAGAAATGGGTGATTCAAGGATTAGGGCAGAAAATACACAAAATAGGCCTGGAGTATCTCATAATGACAGAAAGTGAGATAGTGATTAAAAACAACAACAACAACAAAAACACAAACTACTGTAATAGTCCATTCTCATGCTGCTATAAGGGCATATTCAAGACATATTCAAGACTGGGTAATTTATAAAGGAAAGAGGTTTAATTGATGCACAGTGCAATATAGTTCAGGAGGCCTCAGAAAATGTACAATCATGGGGCAAGGGGAAGAAAACATGTCCTTCTTCGCAGGATGGCAGGGAAAAGAAAAATGTGAGCAAAAGGAGGGGAAAAGCCCCTTATATAACAATCAGATCTTGGGAGAACTCACTCACTATCATGAGAACAGCATCAGGGCAACGGTCCCCCTGATTTAATTACCTCCCACTGGGTGCCTCCCACGACATGTGGGGATTATGAGAACTACGATTCAAAATGATACTTGGGTGGGGACACAGCCAAACCATACCATTCTGCCCCGGCCATTCCCAAATCACCTGTCCTTCTCACATTGCGAAACACAATCATGCCCTTCCAACAGTTCCCCAAATCTTAATTAATTCCAGCATTAACTCAAAAGTTCAAGTCCAAAGTTTCATCTGAGACAAGGCAAGTCCCTTCTGCCTATGAGCCTGTAAAATCAAAAGCAAGATCGTTACTTCATAGGTACAATGAGGGTACAGGCATTGAGTAAATACATCTATTCCAAATGGGAGAAATTGGCCAAAACAAAGGGGCTACAGGCCCCACACAAGTCCAGAATCCAATAGGGCAGTCATTAAACTTTAAAGTTCCAAAATGATCTTCTTTGACTCCATGTCTCACATCCAAGGTACAGTGATGCAAGAGGCAGGCTCCCATGGTCTTGGGCAGCTCCATCCCTGTGACTTTGCAGGGTACAGCCCCACTCCTGGCTGCTTTAACAAACCGGCATTGAGTAACTGTGGCTTTTCTAGGTGCGCAGTGCAAGCTATTGATGGATCTACCATTCTGGGATTTGGAGGATGGTGGTCCTTTTCTCACAGCTCCACTAGGCAGTGCCCCAGTGGGACTCTATGTGGAGTTTTCAACCTCACATTTCCTTTCCACACTGTCATAGCAGAGACTCTCCATGAGGGCTCAGCTCCCGTAGGAAACTTCTTTCTGGATATCCAAGCATTTCCATAAGTCTTCTAAAATCTAGGCAGAGGTTCCCAAAACTCAGTTATTGACTTCTGTGCACCCACAGACTCAACACTATGTGTAAACCACCAAGGCTTGGAGCTTGCCCTCTGAAGCAATGGCATGAGCTCTACATTGACCCCTTTTAGCCACAGCTGGCATGCAAGGCACAAAGTCCCAAGACTGCAAAAAGCAGCAAGGCCCTGGAACTAACCAACCTAACCATTTTCTCTTACTACACCTCTGGGCCTTGATAGGACATGCTGCCATGAAGCCTTAAGACATGCCCTGGACACATTTTTCCCATTGTCTTGGCAATTAACATTTGTTACTTATGCAAATTTCTACAGCTAGCTTGAATTTCACTTCAGAAAATGAGTTTTTCTTCTCTATCTCATTGTCAGGCTGCAAATTTTCCAAACATTTATGCTCTGTTTTCCTTTTAAACACACATTCCAATTCCAAACCATATCTTTTTGAATACATAAAATTAAAATGATTTTAACAGCACCTAAGACAAATGCTTTGATACTTGGAAATTTCTTCCACCAGATACCCTAAATCATCCCTCATGCCGTTCTCATGATAGTGAGTGAGTTCTCACAAGATCTGATAGTTTAACAGAGGGTTTTTCCCCATCTTTGCTTGGGACTTCTCCTTCCTGCTGCCTTATGAAGAAGGACATGTTTGCTTACCCTTCTGCCATAATTGTATGTTTCTTGAGGCCTCCCCAGCCTTGCAGAACTCTGAGTCAGTTAACCTCTTTTCTTTATAAATTACTCAGTCTTGGCTATTTCTTCATGTCAGCATTGAGAGCAGAGTAATACAACAGGTGACAGTAATCAGTAGACATTTTTTGATTGTGCATAGCTATTTAAATAAAACTGTATAAATATATATAGATAAAACCAAATAAGTTCATCCAAAGCTGAGATTTTGTTAGGCCTGCATAACAAAAAGAGAGAAGGCAAGTTAATTTGCATTTCTGCCTAAAGTATCATTGAAGACATGAAATATAATATCTGAATTTAATAGAAGTAGAAGACAAGACAAGCAAAGGCTAGTGGATTTTTAAAATGCCCAATGAACTAAAAAAATTCCAGATATATTTTAATAAACATAAAAGAGACAGGATGATTTATTTTTTCTTGCAATAAACAAAAACTGCATTATATACTGGTTCATTATTGCTACTTTACATATATTATTTTGCAGCTATATAATGATAATGGACTTTAGTTTCCAACTTGAAATACCTTTAAGACTGAGAGTTATGTCTGGGAACCATGAAACATCATGGAATATGTTCTAACATATTCATGAGTTAACCTTGAAAGATCATACAGAAGTCTGATAATCATGCTGCAAAATCAGAAAATGCTGCAACTTATTTACTGTTCCAAATTTCCCAATTAATAAGCAACAGTTCAAACATTTAAATGCATGTGTGCCTGATTCCAAATGTCGGCTGCAAAAAATCTGGCAGCTTTGGCCAGAAACTGTGACATGCAGATTAATTCCATCCTATATTATTCAATGCTATATAGCAGATACAGATCAGCTGAGGTTTCTTATCTATGGCTGAGTCATTGTCTTAAAATGGTCAAAATCATAGTGTCACTAAAAGGATTTTTAAGGAGTGAGTTTGTGGTCCATTACTGGATCTATTTTCTTTGGAATTCATTTGAATTTGGCAGAGCATATGCTGTATGATAAATTAAAGAGGGCTCTGCTAAAGAATGCACAGAAGAGGATAAGTAAAATTTGAGGAGACAGAAGAAACACTCTAGATACATAGGGTGCTGGACTACAGTTGAAAAAAAAAGGTTACATGTCACATTCA